AAAAAAAAAAAAAAAAAAAAAAAAAAAAAAAAAAAAAAAAAAAAAAAAAAAAAACAAAACACTCCAATCCCAAAATGAGGTTTAATTATGCTGTGGCCAAAGCATGTCCAGGAGTGAACTCTTCCCTGGGCCACTCTGCAAGGGAACTCTTTAGAAATTGTCTTTTGTTGCTGCCACTCTTTGGAAGTTTTGTGGTGTTTTTTTGAGAATTTGTTTGGTTTTGGGGGCAGTTCTGTTTGTTTGGGGTTTTTTTGTATTTTTTTTGTTGTTGTTTGCTTTCTGGGTTCTGTTTGGTTTTGGTGTTTGGGGTTTTGTTGTGGTTTTGTTTGTTTTTGGTGTGGAGTCGTTGTTTGTTTTTATGTGTTTGTTGAGGGGTTTTTTTGGTTGTTTTTTTTTTGTGCTCAAGCTTTGATTTCCTGGTACAAAACTGTGGAGTTGAGCACTTCCCAGGAGTTGTCTGCAGCAAGAAAAGATGAAATGATTTCCTGTGCCAGAGGGCTTGGTTGTGCTCTCTTGGCTGGGCTCAAGAGGGACTGACCAAGGACCATCTTGGTTCTCCAGGACTGCCTGGCTCAAGGTTCTCCCTGGTGTCAGGTGCACTTGCTGCATAAAATGTGAGATATTAGGAAGGAATCCTTCCCTGTGAGGGTGGGATTCCCTGGCCCAGGTTGGGCAGAGAAGCTGTGGCTGCCCCTGGATCCCTGGAAGTGTCCAAGGCCAGATTGGACCAACCTGTGCTAGTGGAAGGTGTCCCTGCCCATGGGGACAGGGGTTGGAACTGGATGATCTTTAAGGTCCCTTCCAACCCAAATGGTGATAAAATACACTTGCCTAATTTCCAGCAGGGGAAACCTCTGAGGTGACTCGAAACAAGATAAACAGCCCTGCTGGTTGTGTCTGTGAGCCTCAGAGCATGTTCTGGTCATCACAGATTGGTCTCTTGGCTGAACATGGTGTCCAGATTCTCTCCTGCTGGAGACTTTTTTTGGATTAGCTGCTGTGAGGTTGCTGCCCCACCTTTGTTTATGGCTAAAACATTCAAAATTCCCATCGTGGGGATGAGCTGGACCCCAGGGGTCCAGGTGCTGGAATTACAGATGCAGTGACAGCTCTGCACCATCCTGTTGGTCTCTGTGTGATGGATGTGCAGCTCTGCATGGGCATAATTGGATGCACTTCCCTATAATTCTGTTTTAAAAACATCCCTGTGTGGGATTAAACTTTGAGCCAACAAAACATGGCACGGTCTCATAAACCTCCAGTAATCAGCCACGGGCATGAAATGCTGGGCTGTGCACATGGATGTGTTTGAAACAGGATGGCCTGAAGAAATCTGGGGTTGAAGGTATGGTCTGTCTCACTTTGAATTCATATTGGCTGCCCTTGCATGGAATATTGAGCCCAAAGCAGTGCAGATGCCAAAGCATTAAAATGCTGCCCAGTAGTGACTTTGGGGTCCTTTCTCCTGGATGTTTTAGTGCTTCCTCGTGGTACCTGATGAAAGGCTTTTTTTTGTTGTTGTTGTTGTTTATTTTTAATCTGTTCTGCTTTTCATCCTTGCAGCTTAGGCTTTGGGGGTAAGATTTGTTTTCAGCAAATGTTAGCAGGTCTAACGTGAAAGCTAAAGGGGCTTTATTTGAGGTCAGAGGCTTTTGGACCTGGGATCTGCATTTTTTTGGAGGAAGATCAGGAGGGTTTTTAGACTTGTTCTGAAGTCACAGTAAATGTGTGCAAGTACAATCGCAGGATGGTTTGGAAGGGAAGGGGCCTTTAAAGGTCACGTAGTCCAACCCCTCAGCAATGAGCAGGAGTGTCTTCCACTAGCCCAGGCTGCTCCAAGCTCCATCCAGCCTGTCTTTGAGCACTTGAAGGGATGGGACAGCCACGGCTTCTCTGGGCAACCTGTGCCAGGACCTCACCACCCTCAGTGTAAAAGAAGTTCCTCAGACCTAATCTGTATCAATCCTCTTTTGATTTGAAGGCTTCCCTACTTGTCCTGTCCCTCCATCCCTTGTCCCAAGTCCCTCTCCAGCTCTTCTGGAGCCCCTTAGGCACTGGAAGGGGATCCCTGGAGCCTTCTCTTCTCCAGGCTGAACACAACAGGAGCAGGGCTTTTACCTTCCCTGAGCTGCAGGTGGAAAACTTGGTGCTTTGTTCCGTGGTAATTTATTCCAGAGAGGATGAAGAGCATCAGTGTGCAGTGGGGAGGAACCTCTTCCCTCTCCAGATCCATGGGCTATAATCCCTGCTTACTGCACAGCTCCCAGGTTTGCTGTCTGGTGGCTTGCAGGCTCATGCATCTCCCCCAGCTCTAAGTGCAGTAACCCTTCAATCTTAGTCAGACCCACACCCAGAGGGCATTTTGGTTTTTTTTTTTTTGGTGTGTTTTATATATGTTTTTTCCCATAAATCCCTTTGGAGCCTGGCTGCAGGTCTACACACCTGCATCCCTTGTTGAGATAACACAAACTGGGGGATTCATCCACTCGCTGCTTTATCTGCAGCACGCTGGGAATTGAGTCTCTCCAGGTAAATACAGCAGTTTAGTTTAGGCTGAGCCTTAAATTCGTGGACAGGTGATGCAGGTGAGCCTGGGAGATGTGTGGGTACACATCCTTGCCATCAGTCACAGCGCTCTTACCTCCTTGGCAGCTCCCTTCAATCAGCCAGGCATGTATTTTCATCACTGGGACTTTGTTTTTTGGGGAGAATAAGACAGGGAAAAACCAGTTGGGAAGCAGGATGTGACTTTGTCGGGGTGTGTGTGTGAGGAGGGGGGGGGGGAAGGAACGGAACACAATTCATGCTTCAGGAGAAATTAAAGCCTGTTCCACCCTCTGGACAATTGATCATCCCTAGATACAGAGAATCACCCGTTTCCTGTAATCTGCTCCAAAGGCACACACGTGCAC